AAAAAAAAAAAAAAAAAAAAAAAAAAAAAAAAAAAAAAGAAAGAAAGAAACCTTGAAACCTTGGTACCGCGACACAGGTGTCTCTCAAGTTTAAATAAAATTTAATCGGTTTGGAATAAAATTGAACCAGAGAATTGGTAATTTGTTGTTAATCGAGAGACTAACTTGTAGTTGAATTTTGGTGCGTCTCCAATTTGGCAATCGTGTATCATATGTTATACGCCAGACTAGGGGGAGGAGGACGAGCTTTCTTCCGAGCTGAAATTTTATCCCCGACGACAGAAGCTCGAGGTTCTAATTACAAGATTAATCAAACGAGTAAAATTTCAAGATAGATGAGGATGTTCGTGTAAGAGAATATATTCTATTCACACAATTTGTATCAATTTTATGCTACTTACTACTATTATAATTTTTCCTTCGTACAAATTATAATTGTAAACGCAAAACAACAAATTTGGCAATAGCGTTTCAAAAATATTTAGATCAAGAATCTTTCTAAACGATATCATATTAAATGATACAAAAAAAATAAACAAAAAATTTGGCAATCGCGTTTCAAAAATGTTTAAATTAACTAAACGACACCATATTAAATGATACGAAAATAAAAAACATAAAATTTGGCTATCGCATTTCAAAAATATTTAAATTAAGAATCTTTCTAAATTCACACCATATTCAAAGCTGTAGAAGAGAGAATTAAAGCCAAATGTGATCTAAATGTGGTCTAAAAATAAGAATCTTTCTAAATTCACACCATATTCAAAACTAGAAGAGAGGATTGACTCAAATATGATTTAAATGATACAAAAATAAGAAACAAAAAAAATTTGGCAATCAGAAATATTTAGATTAAGAATCTTTCTAAATTCATACTATATTAAATATTAAATATTAAGCTATATTAAATAAAGCTCTAGAAGAAAAAATTGACCCAAATATGGTCTAAATGATACAAAAATAAGAATCTTTCTAAATTCACACTATATTCAAAGCTGTAGAAGAGAGAATTGACCCAAATGTGGTCTAAATGATACAAAAATAAGAAACAAAAAAATTTGGCAATCAGAAATATTTAAATTAAAAATTTTTCTAAATTCATATTATATTCAAAGCTTTAGAAGAGAAGATTGACCCAAATATGGTTTAAATGATACAAAAATAAGAAACAAGAGAAATTTGGCAATCAGAAATTTTAGATTAAGAATCTTTCTAAATTCACATCATATTCAAAACTGTAGAAGGGAAAATTGACCA